TTTAGACATAAAAGTGAATATTTCTATTATGAGAGCTGATTTATAATACGGTTCTTCAAAATGTTCCAATACATCTAAGTATGCATTTCCCTCTATGTTGAAACCTTAATTCCCAATGGAATAAAATTAGGAAGTGGGAATATTAGAAGATAATCAGGTCAAGAGGATGCATGGGACTTGTGCCCTTATAAAAAGACTGAGAGACACATTCTCTCTCAGCCATGTTGACATACAAGAGAATGCAGACCAGGAAAAGCCTTCAGAAGACACTGGTTCCCCTAGCATCTAAATCTTGGAGTCCCCGATCTCCAAAAGTGTGAGAAATATGGGGCCAGAGAGATAGTATATAGGTTAAGGCTCTTGTCTTGCCTATGATTGACTCCAGCTGGACCCTTGTCACTGCCATGAATAAGCCCTGAGCACTTCTGAGCATGGACCACCCCCCAAAACCAAAACTATAAGAAATAAATAAAGCTATTCCAGTCACCTCATCCAGAGTATAGTCTATGATAAAGAAGGCCAAACTAAGACAGTAACTAGCTAGACTATGATAAAGGGCAAAAAAGAATACTCCAAGCTTTAGCTTTCTTAGTTGCCAAATGATAGAAGACAGGAGTAAACTAGGTAACATGTTCTAAAGGTCTCTTTCTATCCTAATAGCCTAGAGTTTACACATGCATTTTTCCTACTAAGTGTTCAATATCAGTCTCTAAATCTAATTTCTGGGATTTCTAGCTGTGGGTCAAGTCATTCTGTATTTTTCATCAATTCATTAACACCTAGCTTAAGCCATGTATACAGAAGGTGTTCAACAAACGTTTTTCTAAATTTAAAAAATTCCCATAATCTCTGTATTTTGGAGACAACTGTGTGTCTCAAGATCTCTCCGTCTTCCCCAGACACAGTCTAACAGAAGCACAGTCTGACATTACCACTCTTTGTTGGGGATCTCCGTCTTGATTAAAATACACCGAACGAAACAACACAAAAAATAATAAAGTCAAAGAACAAATAAGATTGAATGTCAAATAAACTAGTGCCCTAAATGTTTTCAATTCATCTCGTCTGCCAAAGTGTACACAACAGTTTCTCAGTAAAAATAAATACATAAAATAATTCTGATAATGGAAGCCTGGGGGGACTTTCTAGCAGGCCCTTGGAAAAAAGCCACAGTGAACACTATCTAAAGTTCCTTCCTCATGCCTTCATTATCAAGGGGCAAAAGGGGCAAATTCTCACTGCCACTCAAAATCCTCCCTGTACACTCCATGACATTCCTACAGCTGAGAAAACTGAATTTTGGATCTTGCTTGCTGCAAAGCTGAAACATACTTGAGCAATTGGAAAAGAAATCTTTTTCTCCTGGAGAGGACATCAGTTAAGGTTTGACTTTTAGTCTTGGCTCTGCATGGCTGAACTACTGACTTAGTACAATTAACCTTTCCATAACTCTATAAAATCAGACTAAATAGTCCACACACACACACAATCTATTTCTTCAGTGGCACATCAGTTTATGACTCTACTACTAAACTCTAGATAGTTTCTAACATGCTTCTATCATTACGAAGGAAGATGTGGAAGCACTGAGAAGGTACCTGCAGGAAAATAATGTGTGAATGAAAGCAGGAGGAAAATGAAAAATCATTCCTAGCAGAAAAATGTTTCCAGCCAGAACTGTTTTAAATCTCAAAGTATTCACAAATACAAAAGTACATGGGACAGAAAACCTCAAGAGTAACCAAATTGTACTTACACAAATGAAAGAAAGGCAAAGCACTTCAAAAGTCTGACCCTTGATCAAGGTCATTTTACATCAGAATCTTCTTCAGATTCCCTTCTCTATCTAAAATTCTCTAAGTTTTTTTTTAAAGATTACAACTAAAAAGATCCATGTTTTTAAGTATTAAATGATAACTCATTCCTACATTACTCAAGTTTTTTAAAATAAAATAAACCAAACACTCTAAGTCAAGAGTATGTTTGGATAAGACAGTGAATATATCTATTATGAGCTGAGGGCTTATTTAGGATATGGCTCTTCAAACTGTCCTAATGCATCTAAAGTATTTTGCATACACGTAGTCTCAATTTTCCTCTAAGATAAATACATCTGAGTGGGCATATGTCCAGCTAATAAGCAAGTCAGTGAATGGCAGGTAATCATTCACCTACACAATCATTTAAGAACAATATTAGGAAACTCACAGTTGTGCAATGAAAAAGAAATGGTGCACTAAACAGTGGCAAAACTGCTCTTCACTAATGAAGAATTAATTCAGGGTAGTGGACATAACTCATGGGCACAGTCCATTAGAGTTCACCTTTGTTCTCCTCCTCAGTGATCATGCACCTCTTCTCAAAGAAAAACGAAAAAGCTTTCTGAAAACAGAAAGATGCCAGAGATGCCAATGAGTTGCAATGCTTAAATAAAAATCGATGATAATTCTGAAGGCACTCTAATCAGAAAACATGTAATGTCTGGTCAATTTCATTATGACCTTCTCTTTACAACCAATGTTCATTTTTTTAAGCACAATCACCTCCTCCATAAACTATGCCTACATATAATGTATTAATACATAATGCTCCCTCGGTTATTTGAAGAGGAAGGAAGGAAGAAGGAAGGAAGGAAGGAAGGAAGGAAGGAAGGAAGGAAGGAGATTATATTGACACAAGAAATGTTCCTGGAGGGAAAAATTATGAATTTATTAAGAACTACATTTTCTGTTACTAGTTCCATTAACATTTTGAACTATTAACATTCTCAGGTTAAGAGAATAAAATGGAGAGGAACAAGGGCAATAAACAAAGGAGCTGAAAAAGAATTTGAAAATTTCCTTGTAAAACTGTAATATTTATAGGGGGAAGCAGGGTTTTCTTTTACATGCTAATACATAAAAAATAAAAATCCCCCGCTCCACTCTCCTACCTCCTTCATCTCCTACCTCCTTCAAGGTCATTTATCATTGGCACAACAACCTACGACTGTTTTATTAAAAGAAAAATCCTAGCCTAGGATGCCAGATCTCTACCCAGGACCCACTTATCAAAGGTGTTGCTCGGGCTGACAGGCAGCTGTCAAGTGACACAGAGTGAACATTACTTTATAAGTGCAAGAATCCCATCAGGGAGCACATTTACCTCAGTCCCCATTAAGTATTCTGATAACACCACCTCCATGAGCTCGGCTTAACATTTAAGCCTGCGGGAAGCCCTTGAGTGTACAAAGCCTTCCAAAATTTTCAAGCTAATTTTAACCCTATGGAGTTTTTTTTTGGGGGGGGGACAGAATTTAAACATAACACAGCAATGATATATTCTATCCAACTGGGGGGGAGATAACATTTTGTGGTATTGAAAATATCCTTGCATGTGGCTTTTAGACAAATAATGACTTTCCACTATGTACATATGATATACACATTTATATAATTATATTTTAGTGAGATTAAAATATTCCTCATGAGCAAGATTTTAGACAGCAGTATCTTCTGAGCTGGACCTTATGTGAACCTGTCAAGTATGTATGTATGTATGTAGTGGATGTATATGATGGAATATGACACGCATAGTTAGGTCTACATTCACCATCTGATGGGCAGTCTTGATTTTATCCTTTCAAAAAGCTCTCTCTCTAGTGCAAATAAATATATATATCATATATATATATACATATATATATACAGAGAAGAGAGCAAAGGAAAAAATATTTAAGGTCATTTAAACTACTCTTGGAAAAACTGTCTCTTCTCACTCACTCAGCACCCAAATACATCATCAGCAAGACTCTTTTCACACCTGAAAGTTATTGTCTGGTGACTATTTCAAAATGAGAACGTCTCAACGCTTGTTTGTGTCTTTGGAAAGAGAAACCGGGGAGTGGCGGCTTTCTCACTGTTGAGGAAAGAAGTGGAGGCAAGAGTCTGCAGTCCCCAGTCCAGGGGTATTGTGCATGGGGAAGGATGCTGGAAGGGAAGGAGTCTCCCTCGGAGAGGATTACAGAAGCGGGAGCCTGCTGCAAAAGCTAACTAGGTTATTCTGAACACCAAGTTAAGGTCTTTTTTTTTGCTCTTCGGACCCAGCTTTGAGGTGAGCCACGCTTCGGCCTCGCAAGTATCTGCAGCATTCGAACACACCAGCGAGAGCAAAGGAGCAGTGCCAAACGGTACTTAAGGAGAAAAAAAATTTTATTAGTGAGGAGCCAACCTCTCCTGATGCCACCCAATGTGGAAATTCCGGGCAGCCACCACCGGGTCTTTACATGCGCACACGCACCACGCGTGTGCACACACACACACACACACACACACACACACACACACATCACTTTGCTGCACTCTGCATTCTATATGGCAGCATTTGGAGAACGACTCGCTCACTCTATCCTCCCACCCGGAGCGCGCACACGTACACACACACACACACACACACACACACGCACCATCCCCTCCACCTTCTGCAAACGGTCACGACCACCTCCCCCCTCCACGGTGGTCCCAGTCCCGAGAAGTGGGGGGACCTCGGAGGCGAGCCCCTCCACCCTTCTCTTCACTGCACGTCCACTCGGGTGGGAAAAATCTCGGGGCAGCGTCCAGCACCGTCGGCGGCCAGCGAGCGCGGCGCGCGCCGTGCCAAGTAGACAGCCCCCTGGGCTGCGAGCTAGCGCGCGGGGCCAGCCCCGGAGCCCCGGCAAGAAGCAGCCTGGCGGCGGGATTCCCGGAGCCCCGCGGCTCAGCCCGCGTGCACCCCCCGCCCTCGGGCGGTCGGGAAAGTCCCAGCCCCGCCGCGCGGCCAGGCCGGACACGGGCTCCCCGCAGCTCCCGGAGCGCCCTGGGGACCGAGCCCCGGCACCTCCCGCCCGCGCGCGCCCCGACGCGCAGCCCGCACCGCCGGGGATGCTCCTCCCGCAGTGGGGCGGCCACCCCGCAGCCCGCGCGCCACTCGGCGCCCCGCTCCCGGGGAGGTGGGGTGGGGGTGGGGGGACCGGCGGCGCTTACAGTTCGCAGGAACTGGATCTCATCCTCGCCCTCGCCCCCATCGGCCATGGCTCCTCGCCGGCTCGCCGGGGCCGGCTCCAGAGCCCCGCCGAGCCCCGCGGCGACGCCGGCGGTCCCTCGCGCCGCCCGCCGCTCCCCGCCGCTCCGCTGCCGCCGCTGCCCACGGCCCCGCGCCCGAGGGGCCGCGGCTCCAGGTGCCGAGCGCCGCGCGCTGCCCGCCTGCAGAGCCGAGGAGGAGGAGGAGGAGGAGGAGGAGGAGGCGCCGGCGGCCGGGCGGGCGGGCGGGGGCGGCCCCGGCGGGAGCCTCCCTCCGCCGCACCGTGCGGGAGGAGGGCGAGCGAGTGGGCCCGGAGGACGCGGGAAGGCGCTCCGCGGCGGCCCGCCTGCAGCAGGCGGCTGGCTGGGCCCCCGCTCCTCCGAGCCGGGGTGAGCGTCGCGGTGGGGGTGGGGAGTGGGGGCGGCGGGCGGGGAGGAGCTCGCCGGCTCCCCTCTTGCTGCAGGTAATCCGCAGCCCGCTGCTCGGGACCGCCAAAGCCGAGGCCCAGCGCCGCTTACCGGTTGCGCGGGGTATCGGAGCCCGCGCGCGCGCGTGCGGCCCGGGTACCACCGACTCCTACCTGCGCCCTGGTGCGGCCCCCGGACTCACTCCCGAGACCCGAGACCTTCAAAACCCCCCGCAGGGCTCAGCCTTGGCTCCTCCTGTGGCCGTCTGCAGCGGGGACTTCTGCAGCACTCCGGACAGCACGCGACACTCATCTTTTTAACCAGGGATGCACTGAGTAGCCCAAGTCCCAAGTCAAAGTTACTCAATACCTCTTCGTTTAAACTCGATTACCTCTGTTCCCAAGGAGGATGAGAATTCCGCCAGGACTAGTGTAAATGCATTTAAATAGAATTCCCATACAAGGCGCGTGGTTTAAGTGCATTTAAACAGATTACCCATACAAGGTGCGTGGGGTTTGGTGCGTAAAACTTAAATCCGTTCAACAACTATATGGCATCCATGGCAGACACTGTATGTGGGGGGCTACTCTAGATTACAGGCTCATACCTCAGTTCAACAAAGTAGTGCAATAATCATATAGGAAAGTGTGAGTAATTTGGAATCATTGACAATCCCCAAACTCAGACTGCAGTATCCATTATCCTCTGAAGTCATTTCTTTTGTAAGAAATCCAAGCATTCCACCACACCTATCAGTATCTAGCTCCAGCGATTCTTCACTGCCAATAGCTACTAGATCACCATTCAACAAACAGATGTGGATCAGAGAAAATTCAAGGACGGAAGGAATTTGGACAACAGAGCACTTACCTCTTGTTCTACAGCTTGGTTCATGTAAGCCACTTTTAAAAAGCATATGCAAAAGCAAAAACTCCAAATGTCAAGATTACAAAGATGCAGAAAGTGTAAAATGAAGCTTTGAGTCAATGTACCTACACTGCACAGTTGGAAACATGTAATTAGTAGTTAAAATTGACCAGTAAGTTCTGTGCAGAGTGACTCTATTTTCATTAACTTTATGCTTACTTGAATATATCCAACAGGATAAATACCATAAAGAAAATGATAGAAATACTTTCCCTCCCTGTGCTCTCTCGTTTGTTATTAATCCTTTTACCTAAGTACTTAATATATTCTTATACATTGGTCCACAGTGGCTAAAGAATCCTTAAAACTATTATAGTTTTTGTGAATTTTTAAGCTAGGAACCATTAAGTACTCAAGAAACTCACAAAAGATAGAAGTACTCTATAAGGAATCACCATTTCTGAAACTAATAACCTATAATAAATAATTTGATCTTCAACTTATCGCAAATCCATTAGGTCTTTCCAAGTATTTTATGCATAAACACATAAACTGTTTCCATATTTTCTAGTTATACCAGTCTAACCACCTGATAGGAAAATACTATTAACAGAACAAAAATAATCTCTATGTCACCAGCTTTCTATTATGGTACTCTAGGCTAGAAAAATTTTTAATGAGTAATGCTATTTTTTTTCTGCTTTTTTTGGGAGGGTCACACCCAGCGGTGTTCAGGGGTTACTTCTGGCTCTGCATTCAGGAATTACTCCTGGCAGTGCTCAGGGGACCATACGGGATGCTGGGATCTAACCTGGGTCAGCCGCATGCAAGGCAAACGCCCTACTTACTGTACTATAGCTCCAGCCCCATGAGTTACGCTATTCTTGAAGTCTTTCAACATAAGTGATATAGTGCTAAATGGTCTAGGTACTCAGTGATTACTACTCACCTTACACAGTGCTCAACAGAAAATTGGCTTGGAGCAGAAGCTACCTCTAAAACATCGTTTACATGAACTTTTTAGAAAAACACAAAAGCAATACTATAAGATTTCTAGCTCTCCATTCTAAAATATAAAAATACAATATTTCTTGTTTAAAGGTAAAAAAAGGTAAGTATACAAAGTTATTTCTCATGAGAAGAGTTTATGGGATGAAGGTATCCAAAAACAGATTCCCTAAGACATATCACTTTGTTATATGGATTATAGGGCCAAAATCATTTTGGTCTTGCAGGCACATAAAAAAATTACTAGAACAAAAATTGGAGGTATTACTCAGAATTAGGGTTTTTACTAGAAAATAGCCTTCCTATGGGAGAATGCTATTTCAATGGCAGAGCAAACATGTAATTACAGAGCATCTGGTCTTTGTCATGAGTCACCCTCTCCTTGTCTTGCAAGTCCCTTACCTTAAACAGGGAAAAGTCCTATTAGATAGTTCTCTATCTAATCACAGACCTCTGGCCTATTTCTTACCTCGTCTTTGCCCTTTAGCCTTAGAATTCACATCCATGTAGCTTCTCCATACTATATAATTTTATTGTGTTTTTTTTCTTACCTATCCAATGTTAACTAAATTTTTCAACCAGCCAAGAAGAACCCAGAAGTTTGGGAAGAAATTTCCCCTTTGTCCCTACAGGGAATAGCTTTGTTTATTATTATCTTATTTTAATATGTTTCATAATTTTTCGTTTAAATAATTTTTACAAGGCTGCTACTAAATCTATAAAAGCAAAGGTAATTATATACATATATATTTCCATTTGGATTGATATAGTTACATTTGAGTTCCCAGTTTTTCCTTATCATGAACAACTACAGTAAAATGTTGACTGGAAAAATCATGGAAAGGCAAGATGAGAACTAAGTTAATTTTAATATAATTTAACAAAGAGAAAGAAATATATTTTAATATAACAGTATTATGATCAATTATTAATTAAGGAAGAGATTTTTATTTATTGAGAAATTTCATTAGGATCTTTATGTGATATCTATGATTTGTATAATTTTTATTAAAATGTTTCCTTCTCTAAAGGCATTATTACATGTTATAGTTTTGTAATCTTAGTGTTGTTTATTGGAATCCTCTTTTTTGGAGGTTGCAAGGTAAGGCCATACCTGACAATGCTCAGGACTTACTCCTGGCTCTGCACTCAGAGAACACTTCTCGTTAGCTTGGGAACTATATGGGACACCAGATCAACCACATGGAGACAAGCACCCTATCTGCTGTATAACTCTGGCCCCTGAGTGGAATCTCAACAGTTGTCATGTTTCCCATAGTGCTTCATTTTAGATCTTTATTAATCATAACATAGTTTAATTTGGATAATCATAGTTCCATAATTTTAGTTTACATTTGTGTTTTTCTTTATAACCAATTGTATATTCTGTGAGGGTAAATTAGTTTATTTTTAATTATTTTTATTTATTTTATATTTGTTATTGTAGTTGAAGTAACATGTTTAAAATAGTGTTAACATTTGGGGTCTTCAAAAGTAGAGAGAGTATGGAGGAAATTGTCTACCATAGAGGCAGGGGGGAAGGGTAGGGAGGAGGGTACTGGATACATTGGTGGTGGAGAATGTGCACTGGTGGAGGGATGGATGTTCAATCATTGTAAGACTGAAACTCAAACATGAAAGCTTTGAGGCTGGAGAGATAGCACAGCGAGTAGGGCATTTGTCTTGCACACGGCCAACCCGGGTTCGATTCCCAGTATCCCATATGGTCCCCTGAGCACTGCCAGGAGTAACTCCTGAGTGCGGAGCCAGGAGTAACCCCTGTGCATTGCCAGGTGTTACCGGAAAAGCAAAAAAAAAAAAAAAAAAAAAAAAAAGAAAGAAAGCTTTGTAACTGTATCTTAAGGTGATGCGATAAAAAAATGAAAAACCATTCAAACAAAATATAAACATTTAGGGTCTTGATGCACAGTTACTGCACCTCACTACTATCAGAATGCTTAACACCCTCCCCCAATATTCTGTTACTTCTAGGCTCATCTCTATTTGCCCCCGCCACACCGACTTGATAATCTCAGTTCTGCAATTAAGAACCAAGGGTTTGTCATCATTTGTTACCCTCTGTTCCCTTGTTTTATTTTCCTTATATCACAGATGAGTGAGAAGACCCAGTATTTTCCCTTCTCCCTCTGATTTATTTCACATAACAGGATACCCTCCAGATCTAACCAGCTTTCAGCAAACTGCAAGATTTAATCTTTTTTTACAGCTGAACCATACTCCATTATATATTTACACCATAGCTTCTTTATCTAATCATTTGTTGTTAGACATCTGTGTTATTTTCATATCTTAACTATTATACCAAGAGCCGCAATAAATGTATATTTGCACATATCTTCTCAAATTGGGCTGGAGCGATAGCACAGCGGGTAGGGCATTTGCCTTGCATGCAGCCAACATGGCTGACCCGAGTTCAATTCCTCCACCCCTCTCGGAGAGTCCGGCAAACTACCAAGAGTATTATGCCCGCACAGCAAAGCCTGGCAAGCTATCCGTGATGTATTCTATATGCCAAACACAGTAACAAGCTTCACAATGTTACTGGGGCCGCTCGAGCAAATCGATGAACAACGGAAGGATAGTGATAGTGATCTTTTCAAATTAATGATTTTGTGTTCTTAAGAGAAATCACAAGAAGTGGGATTGCTGGTTTATATTAGTTTCCTCCTTGCAAAAAAACCCCAGCCAACTCCACATCTCCTGAACTTATGTGACCATTTGACAGCTCAAGGAGATGCTAACTACAGAGGTCCACCCTCAGCACAGCTGGAACACCACAAA